GCTGTCGGTGCCTCGCGGTGTGCTCCTGGCAGGCCCGCCTGGAGTGGGCAAGACCCAGCTGGTGCGGGCGGTGGCCCGGGAGGCGGGCGCCGAGCTGCTGGCAGTGAGCGCCCCAGCTCTGCAGGGCTCCCGGCCTGGGGAGACCGAGGAGAACGTGCGGCGCATCTTCCAGCGGGCCTGGGAGCTGGCCAGCCGCGGACCCAGTCTCCTCTTCTTGGACGAGGTGGACGCCCTGTGTCCCCGGCGGGGCGGCCCACAACGAGCCCCTGAGAGCCGCGTAGTGGCCCAGGTGTTGACGCTCCTGGATGGCGTCAGTGGGGACCGCGAGATAGTGTTTGTGGGAGCCACCAATCGCCCGGACGCGCTAGACCCCGCGCTGCGCCGACCTGGGAGATTTGATCGAGAGGTGAATAGTCTGGCGGGCTTTGTCTTTGGAACCTGGGCCTTTTTGGGCCCTAGTTGGCTGCCCCGAAGTATTTGCTTCTTAGGAGACGTTGAGGTTTGAGTGGGACTCAATAATGCAGAGGACATGTTTTATGCCCATATGTGATCTCTGAGCCAAGACTTGTTTTTCTCCAGAGTCAAATTGTTGTGGGAAGACAGATGGCCATTAGGAATAGTTTTGTTGTGCAGGTTCTGAAGATGAGTATTGTAAACAGTAATGTTTGTCCTTAGAGAACTGAGTCTGTTACAAACCTATTCAACTTTTAGGGATTTGGAGTGAGAATTTAAAGTAGAAGGATAGCCTCAGGATTTAAGTGCATTACTAAAAAGGGGAAAAGGCAGGGAAGAACTAAATCGAAGAATGCATTCACTTGTGGGTTTATTCATTCCTGGCCAGGACATCAGCCTCCTATCCTACAATTGAGAAATTAACCCTCTGTTGCTCTCTGAGTTGCCAGGGACGTTGAGTATTGAAAGCTGTCGACTTTTGTAACCTTTAGTCCTAAATTGGTTCTTGATTTCTAAAGAATAGTTTGAAGTGTAGTGACTGATATTTGAAATTTGGGATAGAATTCTACAGTGAGATAATATTAAAGTTCTTTGCTCACATAGCTTAATCTGTTCTGGATTTGAGTGGATATCTCCCATGCACCATCTAGTACCTGGCTGCTCAATAAACTAGGTAAGGGCAGGGACCTGTACTGTTCCTGACTCCTAGAACTTGTTAGATTCTCACATAGAACTAACAGTTGTTAAATGACATGTACAGTTTTCGTGGTGCAACATTTTTTTCTTTAGTTTGCTGTTGGGCACATGTGCTCACCAGAGGGAAGGAGAGAGAGAGAAGGTGAGAAATCAGTCTTCACAGGGAATGATGGCCATGCTACAGTTCTTCCACCATTCTCTCCTGGGGATTTTGGGCATGCTGGCTGCTACCACTGGGAATCAAATTGCTCTTCAGCCCTGTGGGATCCAGCCTCCTTAACCTCTGTGCTACCTGCTGGCCTTGTCCAACACTCCAGCCAGCATTACTCTGGAAAATTTTCATATATACAGAATCCAAGGTATGCCTAGAAATGCTAGTTGGTACTCGCTGGTACTACAGTAGTTACCAAATAGTTTATCGAGTTTTTTTAAAGAATTATTTAATTATTAATTTTTAACTTATTAATTTGATCAGAGAGAGAGGGAGGGAGAGTGAGAAAGCAAGTTGCCAGGCCTAGGACTCGAACCCCTATTGGCCATGTGGGAGTCCAGTGCCCCAATCATCATACCACATGCTGTCCCCAGTTTATCAAGTTATTTGTGAAGATTAAAAAATTAATTTAAACTGTAAATTTTAATTTTTCTTTTTTGCTTTGTATGTAGGTTGTCATTGGGACTCCTACACTTAGCCAAAGAAAGGCAATTTTGCAAGTGATTACCTCAAAGATGCCTATCTCCAGCCACGTTGATTTGGGTCTCCTTGCAGAAATGACAGTTGGCTACGTTGGTGCTGACCTAACAGCACTCTGTAGAGAGGCTGCCATGCATGCTCTTCTTCACAGTGGGAAGGTAAGAAGTGTTGATTGATGACCATAATTAATTTCTTTATTAACGTAACATTTTGGGGTTAAAATAAATGGTAAGTACACTTTCTTCCATTTGATAACTTCATCAGTTGTTTCTTTTATATATGTTTACATCTCTCACTTTCATATAAATATTGGGTTGTCAGAAAAGTCTTGATGAATTTTGCGTACAAAAGCACATCATGACTTTTCCAATGACCCAGTAGTATGTGGTTGAAGGTGGAGATAAAGGGCTGAGTCCTCCTGTCTATGTTAATTTTCCCCCACTTCCATAGTATCTCCTTAGTGCTAAATTCCAAGCAGCCAGGAAAGATAGCGTAGCCCAAGAAGAACCAGTTTTTCTTTTTCTTTTTTTTGGAGAGGTTTTTCTTGGCTGTAGGGCTCGTGCGTTCGCCAGAAACACAGAGCCAAAGACAGAAAGCAAGAAATCACCTCCCGGGGGGATGGCCACGCCTCAATCCCTTCTCCTTTCTCCTCTCAGGATCTTGGGCACACATGCACACATACCCTGCATGAGTTTTAAGCTGCTGGGTCTGGGACTCAAACCATGGTCCACTACCTAGGAGTCCAGCAATGCAACCAATATACCATCTGCTGGTACCCCAAATGTAACATTTTACCACATATACTTTATCATTCTTTTTCCATGTTTGAGTGTATATATTCTGATATTTTTGGAAACATTTAAGAATATATTGCAATCATAATGCCACTTTACCCCAAGAACTTAAATGCATATTTTCTAAAAATGAGGAATTTAACCACAATACATTTATCAAGCTGAAGAAATTAATATATACATGATACTTTTACCTCCTTTAAATAGCTCTTAATTTGTTACCATTCTTCTTCTTTTTTTTTTTTTTTTTTTTAACATTTGGATTTTTTAAAAAGTAATTATTTTATTGGGGGACAGCAGGTGATGAGGTGGTTAAGGGCTTGGACTCCCACCTGCCCTAACATGGTTCGAGTTCCATACACAAGTCCTGGAATAAAATAATCGTTATTTTATTTAACTTTATTTATTTATTTAAATTTGACCAGAGAGGGACAGAGAGAGAGAGAGAAAGTGAGAAAGCAAGCCACCAGGTCTGGGACTCAAACCGCGGTCATCCCAGTACCTTTAACCACCATGCCTCCTGCTGGTGGTTTGAGAGTTTTTTTTTGCTATAGGGCACGTGCACTCACCAGAAAGAGATAGAAAGCAAGAAATCACCCCCAATGCCTTCTCCATTCTCCTCTTGGGATCTTTGGCACGCACGTACACACGCCCGGCGTGAGTTTAAGCCACTGGATCTGGGACTTGAACCGCAGTCGACTATGTGGGACTTCAGTGACATAGCCATTATGCTAACTGCTGGTCCCTCCCAGGGTTTTTTTTTGTTTGTTTTGTTTTTTAAGGTCTTCACTTTTCAGAGTTTAGGTCAGTTATTCTATAGAATGTTTCTTAGTTTGGTTTTGACTGATGTTTCCTCATGATCAATTTCAGATTTTTTATTTTTGTCAGGAATGTCACAGGACTGATCCTGTGCTTTTTCTCACTGCATGTATTAATATTTAGGTAGCATGTGTTGTCTCCTTATCCTACCACTGGTAAAGTTAATGATAGTTTCTTGGATAAGATGATGTCTGTGCAATTTCTCCATTGCTGATACTATTTTTTTTTTGTTATTAATAAGTATCTTGTATGGAAAATAGTTGGGCACCTGGAATTTAATTTTTTTTTAAAGAGATTTTTGCTATAGGGCACTTACACTCGCCAGAGAGACAGAAAGACAACCCTGAGGATGGCCACACTACAATCCTTTTTCTTCCATTCTCCTCAGGATTTTGGGCATGCACGCACACATGCCAAGCGTGAGTTTTAAGCCACTGAGTTCAGGTCTAGAACTGCAGTCAACTACAGCAATGTAACCATTATGCCATTTGCTGGTCCCTGGAATTTAATTTTGTTCTTAACTTTCAGGTCTTTAATTCATGGCTACGTTTCTTTAAAATATTTTAAGAAATTAACTTAAATGTAATAGTTTTCAACACTGTTGGTTGGAAAATCAGGTTTTTTGTATATGATAAATAATCTTGACCCCTAAAGCCCTTAAGAAAAAAACTTGATTTCTGCAGACAGGGTTCTGTGGGACAAAGTTTTCGATCTCAGCTGTAAAATCAAAATTGTCCTTTGATTTTAAACTACAAAAGGACGATTTATCATCCTAAATTTTGAAAAACTTCATCTAAAAGATTTGCATCCCTCCTTGATTACTTTCCCTTGGGAAGGAGTTATGTGAACTTCTAATTCCTCACTTTGCTGATTTAGAATCAAAATTGTGTTTATATTTTAAGAAGTCCCATGTATAAGGTTGTAAGAAATATGTCTTTTGAGGGGAAGATGAAAATGCCAGGGGATGGGAAGGGAGATTTACATTTAGGGTTCCCTCTGCTTTGAAGTTCCAGGTTTGACCTTAAGCACCTCTGGCTTAAGTGGACCAGTCAGCTGCTGTCGTCCACTGCCACGTCAGGTGGGGCCTATCCAGGTGTAGTTGCCACAGGTGATGGCTGAGTTCAGAAACACCCCGGGGGAATTGGAAGGAAGAAAGGCAAAAAGGAAGAAGGGACAGAGACATCTGGGAAGGTACTGGCTCCATCTTTTTCTTCTTTCCCTGCTCAGGTAGCTGAGGGGTTGCACTATCTGTTCCAAGGCAGACAAGGGAGAAATAAAGAATGTTAGACGTTTTGTGAAGCATTTCTATGAGAAGGTTAGAAGTGTGGTTTAACACGCATACATGTGCATATGAGGGAAATAATTTATATGCTTGAAATAACATACATACCTGTGCTCTTGAACCATAAATGGGATCTTCAAATGTTAGTTGGTATTACATAAAAATTAGTCAGTGGTCAGATGCCCAGCATCTAATACTTAGAGCCAGTTGAAAAAAAGCTATTAAAATTATATAATAGTATTCTTTGTGGAAAATGAAATAAGATGGAAAATAATAAAAGACAGTGAAAATTGCTTGAAATTTTATTTCCCAGAGATTATAACTCAAAATAGCTCTATATACATTTTCTTCTATATAAATAGGACAAAGTAGTTTGTTATTGAAAATGAAAGTTTATGGATAACTAAATGTACAGATTTTTTTTTTTTGGAGAGTATTTTAGTTTTTTATTTTTTTCCCTCATAGAGCGCGTGCACTTGCCAGGAAGACAGAGAGACAGAGAGACAGAAAGCAAGAAATCACCCCCCCTCCCCCCGGGGAGGGTGGCTACACAGCAATCCCTTCTCCTCCATTCTCCTCTTGGGATCTTGGGCATGCATGTACATGCGCCTGGCGTTAGTTTAAGCCACTGGGTCCAGAACTCAAACCGTGGTCAACTACATGGGAGTCCAGCGACATAACCATTATACTAACTGCTGGTCCCTGTATAAAATTTATTATAAGAAATCAAATACTTTTTTTGTTTTCCTTTGCCATAGGGTGCTTGCACTTGCTGGAGAGAGGTAGAGAGAGGAAAAGTAAGAAGTCACCACTCAGGGGAGATGGCCATGCTGTAGTCCCTTCTCTAGTCTCCTAGGGATTTTAGGCTTGCATTTTTGGCATGATTGTCAAGCTTCCAGGTTTGGAACTTGAACTATAGTTGGGCATGTGGGAATATAGCATCTTAGCCACCATGCTACCTGCTGGCTTTCAAGAAGTCAAATACTTTAATAAGCATAATATGGGTATTACAAATAGAAATGTGAGGAATGATTTTTATTTGTTTATTCATTACAGGATTTTTTTTTTGTTTTTGCTATAGGGTGTTTGTGCTTGCTGGAGAGAGACAGAGAGGGAATGTGAGAAATCACCCCTGGAAAATGGCAGAATTTTGCTCGGAATGCTCAAGAAAATTGCAAGGAGTCTCAAAATATCTTACAGTGAAGGTGGACTTCTTTTTTTTTTTTTTTTTTTTGGAGAGGTTTTTGCTATAGGGTGCGTGTGCTCGCCAGACAGAGAGAGACAGAAAGCAAGAAATCATCCCCCGGGAGGGATGGCCATGCCGCAGTCCCTTCTCTTCCATTCTCCTCTTGAGATCTTGGGCACGCACGCACACGCACCCAGCGTGAGTTGTAAGCCACCGGGTCCGGGACGCGAACTGTGGTCAACTACATGGGAGTCCAGTGACATAGCCATTACGCTAACTGCTGGTCCCAAGGTGGACTTTCTGAGCATAACATAAAGCCTGCTAATCAAAAAGGAAGTGATTTATTCATTTGATCATTTGGGTTTGGCAAAACAATACTGTAAACATAAAGTCAAAACTAAGAAAAGTGCTTTTAGCCTAATTTCCTTGATATAGACAGAACTCTTACAAGTCAATAAGAATAGGGTAATCATTTAAGAGTAAATGGGTAAGAAGATATGATGAACAGGTAGTTGACATTAACAGGAATACTAATAAAAATGAAAAATCTTGACTAAAAATTTAAATTTTTGTTATTAATAATTTAAAACCTAGAGGAAACTTTCAAGATACATACAGTGGGTAGAGAGAGGGCTGGCTCTGGCATGGCAGTAATGCACTGCTCGGGAGAAGCCAAACCCCACATGGCAACGATGGGCCTCATCCTCTGCCTCGTCAGCCTGAAACGTGCCGGGTGTGTACAAGAGTAACCAAGGTCCGAAGGGCTGGAGGACTGTAAGAAGGGGATACAGCGTACCAGACCCTATGGACGGTGCTTCTCTTCCCCCTCTTTCTGTCTCATGTGCATGCGTGCACTCTATCATGAACAAAGAAAACAAAAGGATAGCTACAGAGACCTCCCACTAAACTCTTTATCCAAATTAACTGTTTGTTTGTTTATTTATTTCCTCCATGAGAGAGGGAGGACCTGATGTTTGTCAGGACCCCCTATAGGGTCCTCACCTCAATCCAACCCCAGCCACTATCGGCCAGCCCTGATCATAAACACGTTCATGTGTGCCTGGTGTGTACAGGGAAGTCTAGGATACAAACCTAGGACCTTCTGACATGGGTCCAGTTACAGTACTGTTCTGCTGCTATCTGGCCACCTCCCAAGTTCACTAATTTTAAAAATTTTGCCATGTAAACTTTATCATTCTCTCTGTCTTGCTCTCTCTCTCTCTATGTATATATGTATGTGGACATGCTATTTATTTTTTGGACCATTTGAGAATGGCCCATGGCCCTTAATCCCATGACATTTCAGGTCTTTATTTCCTAAGAACAGGGATGTTTCCATCCATGACACAGTATGGTTGTATGTGGTCATTATAGTCAGGAAATTCAACACTGGTACAAACTGATATCAAATCTACAGTCCGCATTCTCATTTTAGTAATCTTCTCCATCTTTTAGCATTTTTTTTTTCCTCTAGAATGAGCTCTATTCCAGGGTAATGGATTGCATTTAGTTTTTAGTCTATTTCAGCCTTGAGCACTTTTTATAGACAATGTTCAGATGCTGGCTATATATCCCTGCTGGGAATACTACATAAAAATATTGTATCCTTAAAGTATCACATGTGGAGGCACAGGATACTTATCAGGTCCTCTTTGGTGATGCTAATTTTAATTTTGATCAACCAGTCAAGGAGTTGTCCAGTGTCTCCATTGTGTAGCTACTATTTTTTCCTTTGCCACTAATAAGAAACCTTTGGGGAGATACTTTAGACTATGCAAATATCCTGCTCCTCATCAAACTTTCAATCCCACAGAGAGAGCATCCAATTCTTGCTCAAAACAGCCTAGACTATGATGGTTGCAAAACCACTGATTTTCTAATTCCATTATTCCCTCTACCTGACTCTGAATTGAAGAAATTTAATTAACGCAGTAGGGAGTATCATTGTTTCTGTCACATTGGCAGGAATTCATAAAGCTTGACCCCATGGTGGAGAGCTGTGGGGAGTAGAGCAGCTTCATATTATTGGGGGAGAATAAATTGATGCAACTTCCTTTGAAGACAGTTTGGCACTAACTGTGAAAGCTGTAAATGTGTGGGCCCATCAGTAGTCTGTGCTACTAAGTTACTGTGCTTTGCAGGCTGGGCCCACATGGGAGCCCCAGGTTTGATTTCCAGTCCAACCTAAAGCATGGGTGCCATGGCTGAGCACCTGTTATCACGACTTGGGAGGCTGAAGCAGGAGGGTCACAGCAATGAGATCTTGTCTGAAATAAATGTTCAGTGTGCATACTTATAAACCCAGTAATTCTCCTTTAAGGTAATGTTATAGAAGATATCTGAACAGCACAAGGATGTTCAGCTGCAGCTTTGTTTTTAATAACAGAAAACTCAAAATGACCTAATGTTTGTCAGAAAGATGTAGTTAAATTACTATACATTTTTACAGTAGCAAAATTGAAGAGAGTGTTGTAGAAGTGTATTAGTTGACATGAAAAATTTTTTTAAAGAATTTATTTAATTTGGGACCAGCAGTTAGCATAATGGCTGTCGCAGGACTCCCATGTAGTCGACCGCAGTTCAAGTCCTGGACCTGGTGGCTTAAACTCACACTGGGCACGTGTGCATGTATGCCCAAGATCCCAAGAGGAGAATGGAGGAGAAAGGATTGCAGCGTGGCCATCCCTTCCTGGGGAGTGATTTCTCACTTTCTGTCTCCCTGTCTCTCTCTGTCTTTCTGGCGAGTGCACGCACCCAGGGGAGGGATAGTGAGAAAGCAAGCCACCAGGTTCAGGACTCAAACAATGGTTGGCCATGTGAGAGTGTCCAGTGCCTTAACTCCCACGCCACCTGCTGGTCCTCAGACATGAAAACATTTCTCAGATGAGTACAGACTGCTGTGTTGAGTGAGTATAGTTGCATTTCTGTATCTGTTTAAAAGGATATACATATGCTTACTGTCATAAGACATACTGGAAGAATACACAAGAAACTGTTGACATTCTTTGGGGATGAATATAGGTGGGAATTAGCAGGGAGACATTTACTTCTTTGTATCACATGTATGAATTTCTTTTATAGTGATAACAAAATAGATTTTATAAACTTAAAAGAGGATTTTTGTTTTATTTTGAATAGTGTGTTTGTGTACCACAAAAAAGGCCCACCTAATTTTTGGTTTGATTTTGCTTTTCTGTATATATTTCTTCAGAACCAGGACAGTCCTGTGATTGATGAAACAGACTTCCTTGAAGCATTTAAGAAGATTCAGCCCTCATCATTTCGAAGTGTTATTGGACTGATGGACATTAAGCCTGTTGACTGGGAGCAGATTGGTGGCCTTGAAGATGTAAAACTGAAGTTAAAACAGGTAAAATAGATAATCTGCCTAAGCCAGTAGAAATTACACATTACTGTTCTATGCATTTATGATGAGAACATACGGAATGGGCCAGTCCCAAAGCCTAGTGGTTAAGAGAGCTGGATCCCACATGGTCCATTGTACAGTTTGAGTCCTGGTGCAGCAGTTTGAAAACATGCCAGGTGCATGCTCAAAATCCTGACTGGATGGAGGAATGGGGAAGAAGAGTTTGTGGTACGACTGTATTAGGGGTAGCTTTTCCATCTCTCTCTGCCCTCTTGCACTTAAAATGGAGGGGGATGCATATTATGAAAAAACTGTACATGGATTTTAAATTTTTTTGTACAAAATAAATTTGTACTTTATTTTTTAAAGAATTCTTTATTTATTATTATTACTAATTTTCTACAGGGCATGTATTCTCACCAGAGAGAGTGAGAGGGAGAGAAAGATAGATTAAGAAAGCAAGTTGCCAGGTCTGGGATTCAACTGTGGTCAGCCATGCGGGAGTCCAGTGCCTTAACCACCATGCCACCTGTTGGTCCCATAAATTTGAACTTTAATTCCATTTTTCCACAATTTTTTGTTTGTTGTTTTTAAGAGATTTTTGTTATAGAGCATGTGTGCTTGCTCGAGAGACAGACAGAAAGCAAGAAATCGTCCTCCAGTGGGGATGGCCATGCTGCAATCCCTTCTCCTCCTTTTTCTTCTAGGGATCTTGGACACGCATGCACATATGCATGGCATGAGTTTTAAGCTGCTGGGTCTGGGACTCGAACCATGGTTGAGTCCAGCAATGTAACCGTTACACCATCTGCTGGTCCCCACAATTTGTTGTTGTTGTTTATTTCTTCCATCAGAGAGAAAGCACACTCAATAGGATCTTGACTCTGAGATCCGCCTTTAGCCTTCAGCCAGCCCCAGGTCTTGGACAGGTGCACTCAGGGAGGATTCCAGAGTGCCAGGAACCTTCTTGTGAGGGATTGCTTTGCAGAATGTCACATTTTAACCACTGTGGCATCAACTGGTCCTTCTACAAACATTTTGAAGTCCCCATATATAAGTGACAGGCTTTAGTTTCACCTCTGATTTAGGAGATTAATTAGGTGGGTGAATGCAGGGGCTTGTGAAAGCACAAACTTGCTAACAGGGCACATGCACTCATCAGAGAGAGTAAGAGTGAGAAAGCAAGCTGCCAGGTTTAGGACTTGAACCATGGTCAGCCTCGTAGGAATCCAGTTCTCCAACCTACCCTAATTTTTTGATATGCATGTGTCATTTACTCATCACAAGATGCATGAGAGAAGTTAGCCACATTTTCCTGTTGGAGCACTTGCTTTCCTTTTCTTTGCAATGGTAAGCTTTCCTGCCTTTCTGAATGCTCCTCTCCCCTCCCTTTGTCTTAGTGTTCTAAGAGGCCCCAGGAGTTCACTGCTTGTAGTTCATGAATGAGTTCATGGCCTACTCAATGGCCAGGGTTTCAACTGTCCCCTGGAAACTGTTGACTTAAAAGTCTAAATATCTAGCGTAGATATTGTGATCATCAGAACTACTCAGCCGCTCGCCTGCTGGATAGCCCCAGGGATCTCAAACTCAGCGTGTCTGAAGCTCACCTAGTTAATTCCATGTTCACACCTGGGATTCCTTACTACGTGTATGGGATCAGAATTTAGTCCCTATGTAAAATACAATCTGTTTTATATTTCATACATCCATCCTTTCCACACTATCTGTAGTGCCTGTGACACACCCAGTCTTATTACTTTTGTACAATTATTGGAAGAGACTTCTACCTGGCTTCCCTAATTGTTGACTGAAACTTTCAAGGCCCATTTGATCTGACTTCTACCTCCACTTCAACTCCATTACTCTTCGCTTTCCCCTGTTCTCCCCTCTGCTCTTGCTCACTGCTGGGGGAATTACTTAGGTAGATAAATTCATGTATCTCTGTATGTGTTGTCCCTTCTCCTTGGAATTCTCTGTTCTGACCCGATGTTGATTTACAATCCCATCTCCCTGCCGAGAATGTGGGTAGCCTAGGTAGAGGGATCTTCTCATTTCCCGTTTTTGTAGAGAGGTAATATGTCAGCAGTTAAAAGCTGGTGCTTGGGAGTACTTTGCCTGGGGTCAGCCGTGGTTCTGTCAGTTCACTAGCAGTAAGACCCAAGTGAGTTACGTAACTTCTGTAAGCCTGGGTTTCTGCATCCACAAAATTATGATGTTGATAAACTGTTTACCTTAGAGGTAATAAGAACTTACTCACTGTTAAGTTAACAGTTATTGAGTGTCCACTTTGGGCAGGTGTCATTCTGGGTCCTGGAGATGTAGAGGTGAACTTTGCTTACATTCTAGGAAGAATAGAATAACAGACCCAACATGGGAAAATAATAATAGCCCTTTAATAAGTACTCTAAAAGTAGAAAGCGAGCAGTAGCATGAGGAGTGACTGGGGAGTGGGGAGGGCGGTTCTGCTTTAGTAGGGATGACCTCTCCAAGGAGGTGACATTGAGCTAAGACCTGAGTGCTGAAGAATAGCCACACAGAATCTTGGGGAGGTGTTCAGGTAGAGAGAGAAAAGCAAATAAAGGCCCTGAGGACATACCAGGATTGGGGGATAGTTGGGTTGAGTGAGCCTTTGTAAGCTGTGGCAAATAAGAGTCTGGGTTAGGATTTGGTTTTGATTCTATATAGTTCTAATGGGTCATTGAAGGATTTTAAGCAGGAAGTGAGTGACTTGACTTAAGCTATAAGTTCTCTGGCAACTGTGTGGAGAATGGTTTCCTGCACTAAACAGGTGTCTGAGAATTGTTGAATAATGAATGAATTTACTGAATTATTTGATATTTTACCATTAAACTGAAACGACTCTTATACCTTTTTGTATACTTACAGAGTGTTGAGTGGCCCCTGAAATTCCCTGAGGAATTTGTCAGGATGGGTCTCACACAACCAAAGGGCGTTCTCCTCTATGGTCCCCCTGGATGTGCTAAAACCACCCTGGTGAGGGCCCTGGCCACAAGCTGTCATTGTTCTTTTGTCTCGGTGAGCGGAGCTGATCTCTTTTCACCTTTTGTTGGTGATTCAGAAAAAGCCTTGTCTCAGGTTTGTTTATTTCTGCATATATCAAAGTTTCAAATTTTTATTTCATAGTTTATGGATAAACCTAATTCCCCCAAAACTAGTTTTTTCCTAATTACAAAAGCTGTATACATTTGTTTGTAGAAAATTTAGAAAATGCAGGAAAGTATAAATAAAAAATTCCTCTACCTACTATTAACATTTTGTGGATTTCCTTTTTTTTCTTTTAAACAAAATTGAGGGCAGGTTTTATATATCGATAGCTTTATCCTGCCTTTTTCAACTTTATCACTTTGGAAGTTCCATATCATTAATTATGTTTTGAAAATTTGATGTTTTTAAATCACATATAATGTTCCTTTGTTCATTTCCTCATTTCCCAATTTCTACACATTTAGAATCTTTTTATGTTTAAAGTATTATAAATGGTGATGTGGAGAACATACCAGGGGTTTTCATGGAAAATATGTGTGCATTATGAAGAAACTACATGTGATTTTCTACTTTTTTCCCACCAACATAAACTTGTACTTTAATCCCATTTTTTCATGAACTCTTTGAAGTTCTTGTACATTCCCGTGAATAACGTATGCAACATAATAGTTTTAAACATTTTGTTTTCCTAACAAAAGGTATTTCGACAAGCAAGAGCAAGTACTCCAGCAATTGTGTTTTTGGATGAAATTGATTCAATCTTGGGATCTCGCTCGGTCAGCAGATCAGGATGTAATAATGTTCAAGAGCGAGTTCTTTCTGTTCTCCTGAATGAATTAGATGGTGTTGGACTTAAGACAATAGAGAGAAGAGGAAGTAAATCAAAACGACAGGGTAAATACAAGGAGCTGGAAAAAAATATGAAGAGGTATTTATTAGCCAGAATGCACCAAAACTCCAGGCTAACATTAAATATAATCTGTATACTCTATAGCTTTTCCTATGCTGAGTTCACCTCACAGAAGGTGAGGTTCAACTCTGTTGGGATTTTTACAGCTGTTAAAATTTGTGATTTGGTTAGCAAGGGTGAGATAAAGTTCATAATAAATGATCTTACCTGTATATGAATGTGAATTTTATTTTTCCTGAGAATGAGAAATACAATTTTACTTAACGTTAATAATAAGGGAGTTTATTCTCATTTCTGTATCCTGAAAAACCAGTGTTCACCCCTTTCTAAAAATGTTTACATAAAACAGTTAATTATTTTCAATAATCTTAGCTATTGAAAACTTTTGATTTTCTTTTTTAGAGAGATTTTTGCTATAGGGCATGTGTGCTTGCCAGAGAGAGAGAGAGAAAGCGAGAAATCACTGCCCCCTCCAGGGAGGATGACCACACCACAGTTCCTTCTCCTTCATTCTTGGGATTTTGGGCACACATGCATACGTGCCCGATGTGAGTTTAAAGCCACCAGCTCCAAACTCAAAGCACAGTCAATCACATGGGAGTCCAGCGACACAACTATTAACACCATCTGTTGGTCCCACTTTTGGTTTTCTTGAGGAATGGATTTCTTTGGTTATAATGCAGTTAAAATGACATTTGGAACTCCTCTTCCTCTTTTTTTGAGTCTCTTCAGATAGAATTTGGTATCTTTACATTATTTCTGTTAAGAGAATTCATTCTTTCTTGGGAACCAGCAGTTAGCGTAATGGCTATGTTGCTGGACTCCCACTTAGTCAACCGCGGTTCACGTCCCGGACCTGGTGGCTTAAAACTCACGCTGGGCACGTGTGCATGCGTGCCCAAGATCCCGAGAGGAGAATGGAGGAGAAGGGATTGCGGCATGACCACCCCCCCGGGGGGTGATTTCTCGCTTTCTGTCTCTATGTCTCTCTCTGTCTGTCTGGCGAGTGCACACGCCCTATAGTGAAAACCGCTCAAAAAAATAAAGTAAAAAAAAGAGAATTCATTCTTTCTTTAAATCATTTTCCATTTTAAAAATTGTTCCTTGTAAAGAGTCTTCTGGCTCTTGGGACCAGCAGTTAGCGTAATGGCTATGTCGTCGGACTCCCACGTAGTCAACCGCGGTTCGAGTCCCGGACCTGGTGGCTTAAACTCACGTTGGGTGCGTGTGTGTGCGTGCCCAAGATCCCAAGAGGAAAATGGAGGAGAAGGGATTGCGGTATGGCCATCCCCCCTGAGGGGTGATTTCTCGCTTTCTGTCTCTCTGTCTCTCTCTCTCTGTCTGGCGAACGCACGTGCCCTATAGCGAAAACCTCTCCAAAAAAAAAAAGAGTCTTCTGGCTCTTTAGGAATATATCATATTAGAATTAGAAGGGACCTGTACATTTATCTAATCATATCTTCTCATAATGCATAAATTCCTTCTGTAACATTCACCCAGTCACTGCTAAAATGCTTGCAAATATAGAGAACCCACTACTTCAAGGGATTGCCATCATTGGACAACTGCTTGATGAGTTCAGCAAATGATTTTGACCACTTACTGTGCCTAAGGCTTTGTCCTATCTGCTTTTAGACATTTCTTCTCCAGGACTTGGATACTTATATCTTAATTGTCATTATTTCTGCCTCTGGAAAGAAAAATGAATAAAAAGTAAAGTAACAGGGAACCAGCAGTTAGCGTAATGGCTATGTCGCTGGACTCCCACGTAGTCGACCGCGGTTCGTGTCCCGGACCTGGTGGCTTAAAACTCACGCTGGGCACGTGTGCGTGCGTGCCCAAGATCCCGAGAGGAGAATGGAGGAGAAGGGATTGCGGCGTGACCATCCCCCCTGGGGGGTGATTTCTCGCTTTCTGTCTCTATGTCTCTCTCTGTCTGTCTGGCGAGAGCACGCGCCCTACAGTGAAAATCTCTCCAAAAAAAAAAAAAAAGTAAAGTAACACTCCCTCTTTGAGGATATGATTTCCAAGACATCACAATTATAACATCTCCACTTGTTAGTCACATGCTTTTTGCATTTTATGTAGTCCATTTAAGTTTTAATCATTCATTGAAGGCCCAGTTCTGTTCAGGTCACCAGATAGGCGTTTTTCTGCTGTGATGTAAAGCTTCTCACTGGGTCTCACCTGGAGAAATGTCCCAGGTTTAGCCACTTCGTTCACTGTGCACACAAAGTAGCTCTTTGATTAGTGATTTCTTTCTGGGGTGCCTCAATAACACAGAGGTGGTCTGAATAAGGATGTAAACATTCTGGTCTCCCAAAAAGAATATTCCTATTTACAAACAATGGACTTTCTGATTTATACCTTTAAGAAAAGTTTTTTTTTAATATTTAACAACTAATGACAATGCTTTGTATTGTGTGTTTTCCCTCAGAGTTTCAAGAAGTTTTTAATCAAAATGTCATGATTGTTGCTGCAACCAATAGGCCCGATGTATTAGATGATGCCTTGTTACGACCTGGAAGATTAGATAAGATGATCTATATTCCACCTCCAGACCAGAAGGTAACCATTGTCCACATTTACCGTGTGTGAGCCTCTCCACAGCACATCAGCGTCTATACTTGAAGGATCTTGGCAGAATTTAACTCCTTAATTTCAAACTGGATCTTGATGTGCATGGGGCACTACCCACTGGGTTCTGCATGCTTCCTTGATGGTGGCCCTTCAGAATACCAGAGCACTTATCTACTCTTGTGGGATACTTGGCCCTGTTTTCAGAGGACCATACACCTGATACGCGGGTAGCGATCTTATTTCAGTGTCGTGGCAAACTCG